TTGGGCCTGCGCGCGGCGGGCGCGTCCTCGGGCGCGCGGCGGCCGGAGCAGTAGAGGCGCTTGTGCACGTAGTAGTTGTTGACGTTGCTAAAGGTGATCTCGCACTCGAAGCACGTGGCGCCCTTGGGGGCCCCCGCGAAGAGGCCGGCCTGCGCACCCCCAGCGCCCTGCTGCAGCCGGTTGTGCACCAGCTCGGACATCTTGGCCAGGATCTCCGAGGCTGGGGGCGCCCCGCCAGCGTCAGTGCCAAACACATATTGCGGCAGGAAGAGGGCCCCGGCCAGCCCCAGCTCCCCCGGCACTGGGCTGGAGCCCGGCGTGGGGCTGGACAGCTCGGCCTTCACCCTGGCCGGGGCGGGGCTTCGCGGCGACGGTGTCCTTGATGGGGCCTGGGGCCCTGGCTCGCCAGGGGCGCGGGCCACCTCCGGCTCTTCCGCAGCCTCCACCTTGATGCTCCTGGGGGCTGCTGGGGACTCGCTGCTGCCCCCATTCTGGGGGACCACTCCGTTGGTGGCCTCGGCCACGGCCTTCCTGTCCAGTCCTGGCGATAGGCTGGGCGCCAGGCCCAGGTCAGCGGAGGCCAGCGGGCTGTGCAGGGCCGGGTGCTGCTGGAAGCTGGCCAGACTGTCTGCAGGGAGACCACAGGGGCCCGCTTCAGGCCTGGGGCAGGACCTGGCTGGGCCAGAGCTGGAGGGGTGACCCCAGCAGCTGGTTTAGGGCCAAGGCTGAAATGGGCCCCCACCTGCCTTGTTGGAAAGCCCCTCCCTCCCCGCTCCTCGGGGACCCAAGAGGCAGCAGTGGCCTCAGCCAGGCTGCTCACCTGGGGGCAGCTTGGCAGCGGGGTGTCCGGCCCCTGGCGAGTAGATCTCACCCTTAGAACCAGGCTGGCAGACCATGTGGTTGGTGACCAGGTGGCTGTAGAGGATGTCCCTTGTGGTGGAGATGAAGCCACAGCTGTGACAAACACCTGCGGGCCACGCGGTGGTCAGGGCCCTGGGGCCAAGGGCGCGGCCCACAGACCCCTCGGCCGGCCGCCTACCTACCGCTCAGCGTGTCCGTGTGCACCTTGAGGTGCCGCTCGCAGTTGGCCTTGGTGGTGAAGGCCGACAGGCAGATCAGGCACACGAACGGCCGCTCCCCTAGAACAGGCGCTAGTGAGGGCCGGGGCCGCCAGCCTGGCCTGTCTGGGCTCCCGCGACCCGGAAGGCGGGTGCTGGCCCCAGGGCCTTGATCTGTGAGGAGGCTCCTTAAACTCCGCCTCTTGTCTCTCGGGTTAGCAGCCAGAGCCCAGCCCTGAGCTGGCCATCAGACAGCGGCGTGGGCCGTCTGCTCTGGGACCTCGTGGGAGGACCACACAAGGCATGTGCGGCACCTTGGTCCTCCTGGGCAGGGCGTGGCATTTGCACCCGGGTGCGCAGGGCCAGTGGGAGGTCCACCAGTGACGGTGGTTGGGGCGGGGGCGCGGGGAGGGACTCACCGCTGTGACTGCGCATGTGGATCTCCAGGGAGCTGGCGCTGGGGCAGCTTTTGCGGCACTGCGGAAAGGGGCAGACGCGCTCGTTGGGGTAGGTCTCCTTGGGTTTCTCGTCCGCGGCCGCCGCGGCCGGGGAGCCGACGCTCTGGCGGCTGGCGCAGTAGTAGAGGAGGTGGGCTTGGAGGTTGCGTTCGCTCCGGTACCAGATGCCGCAGTCCTTGCAGGGGAAGACGTCCTCTGCGGGTGCGAGAGGTGGGCGCGGCTGAGGGGGCACCGGTGGTGGTGGGGGACAGCCTGCCAGCCCGGGTGAGGCCGAAGCCTCCGGCAGAGTGAGGGCCTCGCCCTAACCGACCCTGCGTGCTGCCCGGCCGTGACTGTGCCGCCCCCTCAACTGTCCTCTGATGGCTCCTGCCCCCTCCCGGGGACCTCTGCATGGAGTGGGGCCTCTGAGTGGCCTCCCAAGGGCCCTTCCACCAGCGGGCCCTGTGAGGAGGGGGCCTCAGCGGCCCGAGCAAGGACTGTGGACCTGCTCGTGGACCCCACCGGGGTGGGGTCACCGTGTACAGGCTAGGGCGGTGGGCGTGTGCACCTGAGGGAGCTGGCAGGGCACGGAAGAGGTGTGTGTGCAGGCGTGTCACAGGTGTATGGGGTGACGGGCTGCACGGGGAACCCGAGTGCACGGTCCCTGTGTGCTCAGCCACTGGATGGCAGAGCGTGGCCTTGGGGGTGGCAAGGCCCAGACGCCCTCCGCCCCGCACCCCCACACACCTGGGCGGCTCTGTGTCAGTTACCAACTGACTGTCAAATGTGGGGGATTTGCCCCAAGTTTGCCCCAAACAGGCTGCTTGTGACTTTTCGGAGTTTTGGGGGCGTGGACGGTTTGGTGTGGTTTCGCCAGCTGGGGAAGACCTTCTGACAGGCGCGAGCAGGTCTCTGTTCTGTGTTTTTAAGGCAGATTTTAAGGAATGTCCTGCTTGTGCCGCCCCAGACCCCCCCAGTGCCCTTGGCTGAGGACAGGGAGGGCGGGTTCTGCCCGGCCTCGACCTTGGTGTGGAACCGGGGCCTGGGATTCCTTATCTGGCTCTTAAGCCGGGGTGTTTCGAGAGCCGTCAGTGTCTGGTTTCTGCCTCGGCGAGTTCGTGCCTGTTTCTCACCCGCTTCTCTGATGTGCGCCTGGAGTCTGGCTGTCAGAGGTGGTCCTCTCCGGACCCCCTTCCCCGCACGGCCAGTGTTCCCCCTTTTCCTCTTTTAAGGAACTTAAGTCCTGTGTACTGGGCGGCCTTTTCCTCCCCTGCAGTTTTTCTGGTGATTTTTCTGACTCAGACCTCCTCCCTATTGTATCATTCGGTTCTGTTTTTTGAGTTCCCTTTTATCAGGGGCCCCCGGCAGTTCTGTGCTCTCTGCTGAGGCCCTGAGCTGGGACCCAGGATCCTTTGTTTTGGTGTCTGCAAGGTCGTTGCTGGGAGCTGTGCTGCTGGCTGGGATGTGGGGAGGGGGCCGTGAACTCGGCTGGGCGGTCACCCCCCGACCACTGTCCTGTCCTGGGTGGTGCAGCTTGGGTGACCTGCACCTGGGCCTCTCACAGTGGGAGACAGGCCCAGGATGGCGGGGTCCCCAGCATTAAGCCAGGTCTGACTGGGGCTGGGTGCCAGGGCACCCGCTGGGCAGGGGCCGGGCCTGTCGTCGGCTGTGGAAGAGCCAGGCCAGGATGTGGACGCGTAAACACAACGGCCAGCTCGCTGCGGCCTCTCCAGTGAAAGGTTCCTGGGACGGCTGCCTGGGGATGGGGCACTGACGGGGACCCTGGACCCCAGAGGAGGAAACTGAGGCCCGAGGGGCTGAGCCGGGGCCACGGCTGCCCATCGCAGCAGCCAGTGGGAAAGGAGGCGCGGAGGACCCGGGGCCCTCCCTAGCACGCGGTCCCCGGGGAGCCTCCTCGTCACTGGGCGGCTGCTGCCATGGAAACCGCCACGCTGCCAAGCCCGGTGGTCGTTCTCAGCCCCAGCCTTGCCACTGCCTGGACGAGGCAGACCCCAGCCGCCCCTCCTTGGCCCCTCTTGTCCCACTGCTCTCTGTCCCTGTGGACGCACCCCTCCCCCACCCCAGTGTCCACAGCCCCCGTGGAGCTGGGCCCCCCTGAAGTGCGTTCCCCGCCCCACCAGCCCCTCGGCCGCCTCAGCTTGGTGGCCGCCCGGAGCCTGGCAGGGGTAGGTCTGTATGGGTCGTTAGCCTGTGGACAGCACTGCAGCCCTGTGCCCAGGGCGGGGACACCCGGGGACACAGTGGCACACTCACTGTTGACGACGGCCGTGGCCAGGATGGACGCCATCCCGGCCTGCTGGGGCAGGAGCTGGATGTCGCTGTGCGCGGGGGCTGGGCACGCGGGCTCTGCCGGCTCCTTCTTCACGGGGTGGCTGGGGATGCCGCAGGGCTCGGTGGTGAGGAGCACACTCAGGAGTGCACCTGCGGGCACCGGCTTGGTGACCCTGCACCAGAGGGCGTCATCTGCAGGGACACAGGCATCCGTGATGCTAGGACTGGCATGGCCGGCTCCCCGTGACCCTCCTGTGTCCCCCCGTCTTAAAGACAAGGGTCTTGGGGCCTGAGTGGAGGCGGGGTGAAGGCCACGGCCAGGGAGCGGCTACACCCCACACCCAGGTCCACAGCTGTGGCTGGCCGGCTGCCATTTTGCCACCCTGGGGGCGAGGCTGGTGGGCCCTGGGCAGGGCGCCTGGGACTGACCGTTACCTCGGCCTCCAGCCCTGCGCTCGCCCCGGTGGGAGGGCCCTGAGGGCGTTTTCCAGGACGGGCCACATGCAGGGCAGGAGGCAGAGCAACTGGGGGAGACCGTGGGCAGCCACTCGGGCCATGGGGAGAGTGCCGGCCGTGGCCGGGGGCCCGGGGGTGAGTCGGCTGCGGCTTCCGCAGCGGCCTGCAGGGGGCAGCCTCGGCCAGCGGAGCCCGGGCTGAGTGGCGGCGGCTCCGGGCGCAGCGGGCGCTGTGCTTCCCTGGGAGTGCGGAGTTGCCACCGCCCACAGGCACAGCAGCCGCCCTGCACTCAGGAGACCACTCGCTGGCAGGTGGACCCTGGCTGCGCCCAGAGGGCCTGTGGGTCACCCCAGGGGCAGCGTCGCCGCACCAGCATGGGCCCTGCAAGGGCAAGCGCTTGGCCGGAGGCTGCTGACCAGGCCGGCAGGAAAGGGGGTGCGCGCGGGCCCAAGTCCAAGTCGCGTGTGCAAACTCGCGCTGGCTGCTCGCGGCCTCTCCTCGAGGCTCTCTCTGGGTCCTCAGAGACCCCTTTGGCGGGGTGGGCGACCCCAGGTCCTCTCTGCCCACAGGCAGGGACACGGGGGCACTCGGGGCGAGGCCCTGGCCCAGGTCCCATGGAGCCCCACTCTGCACACCGCCACCCGCGAGGCAGGGAGGGTCGTTCACAGGGATGGCCCCTGCCCCCAGCGGCCTTTGCCTCCCTCAGGACGTGCGGCGGGAGGCAGCTCCCTGGCCGGGGTCCAGGACGTCCTGGCAAAACGAGCCCTGTGGCGGGTGACTGAGCACAGCCAGCTGGCACGCGGCCCTCCCAGGGACCCCCTTGCGCAGATGGCCCACGCTGGTGTCCACGTCCTCCCTCAGCCTGAGCCTGCTCGTCTGCAGGGAGGGGTCCCCCAGCCCTGACCCTAAGTCCCACGTGCTGGGAAGGCTGCACCTCAATCTCGGGGACAGTGCCCCCAGGGCGGGACTGGGACGTCCATACAGCCGAGGGGGTTGCTGCTGAGAGCCGGAAGCACCGGCCCAGTTCCTGCCCAGCCTGCAGGGCCAACTGAGGGAGGCCCCCCCCGAGGGCACCAGACAGGGCAGAAGCTCCTGAGCCTCAAGCCCATTTTCCAGATAGAGAAACAGAGGCTCTGGAAGGCGAGGGACCCACCCAAGGCCCCACGGGGGTAAGGAACACAGGTGGGCTTGAATGCCGTCCTCCAATAGTTCCTGCAGCAGCCGGGCCTCGGGGCCCTGCCGCTTCCCTGTTGTCTCCTGAGACCCCGAGAGCAGGCTGGGCCAGGCCGGGAGGAGGTGCGGGGGCCACGGTGTCCCCTCAAGGAGCAGATGTCTGGCTGGCCTAGCCTGCCCAGGGAGTCCCTCACAAGGGGATTTATGGTCTTGGGCTGTCCATCTGAGTAGAGAGTCTGCCTCGGGTTGCAGCTCCTGGGCCCAGAAGGGGACGGGTCCTGCACCTAGCCCCAGACGGGCGCCGATCAGACGCTGGGGGCAGCGGCTGTGACGGCCAAGACCCTGCTGCCCTCCCTCCCTTGGACACGCGGGCTGGTTTCCTTTAAGGGAAGAGGAGCGGGGGGCCCCCACCTTCCGGAAGGCCACGGGAGGGGCGGCGCCACGTGATACCGACCCTTCCTGTAGATCTCCGCGTTGGCTTCGGCCTGGGTCAGGGCCTGGGGCAGCGTCCTCAGCCAGCAGGCCTCATCCGCCAGCAGCAGGGTCAGGGCTGGGCTCTGGGGGCAGAACACGGGGCATCAGCCACACAGCGGGGCCTGGCCGGGGGCTTCCGTGCATGTGGGGCGCCCACGAGACAGACTCCACTGCCTGCCTGGGGCTGAGGGGGCGGGCGGCTCCCCTAAGGCTGTGGAGGCAGAAGCCCAGCAGGGAGCGGTGCCCTCCATGGTTGGGCGCCGTGTTCTTTTGGAACCTGGCCCAGAGAGGTCAAGCGGCATGGCCAAGGTCACACAGCCAGTGAGTGGTGGAGGCTGACTTCACACCCTGGTCTGTGTCCCCTCCCTGCCCACCTGCTTGGCCTGGGGGCCATGGTCCTACGTGCGTGGGCCGGAGCAGGCACAGGCTCATCCACACAGCCCGATGCCTCCAAAATGAGCTCAGAGGGCTGGGGTCGATATGGCCCCTCCCTAGAGACGGACTTCCTTGTCCCCCCCCCCCCGGGCCTGGGTGTCCTCCCCTTCCCGATGCAGGGCACGTACCACCCTGGAGGAACATCAGCCCAGGCTCTGCGGCACGCCCTCCCCACCCCGAGGCTGGCCTGGCACCCGCCCCTCCCCGTGGGCCACAGGGACTGGCGGCGTTGTGCTGGGTCCTCTCCTAGCCCCCCCAGCCTCACGGTCACCCCGGAGAGTAGGCAGTGCTTTCTGCTCCATCGCACATTGGCAGGGAAACTGAGGCACGGGGCGGGGAGAGACAGCTGGTGCCAACACCGCCTTGGGCCGTGCCGGGCTGTCCCTCAGTGGCTCAGGCTGAGAGCCTGGAAGGGAAGAGCACTCGGGCCAGGCCCTTGCGAGGCCGCCTCACCCCCGCTCCCCGTACCCTGGCCCCCAGCCTGGCAGCAGAGGAAGGGCACGTGACCTGTCCCGACACAGCCTGGTGCCGGGAGAGTGCCGGGGTGGGGCAGGGCCGTCCGCCCGGGTCAGACGTGGAGGGGACAAGGCAGAATTCTGGCCCCGCCTCACCTCCGAGGGTGGGAGTGGCTGCCGCTGCCCCGCCAGCCTCAGCCGCCTCCTAAGCCCCGGCGCCCACGCCGGGCTCTGCGCCTGCTGCCCTTGTCGTGGCCCAAACCGCGCACCAGGGTGCCGTGTCGAGCGTGCGCACGTGCGTGCTTGAGGATTGTTCTGTAAACCCACTCGCTTTTCATGCTGTACAAACAACTCCTGGTAATGAGCTACATCCTGTGTCACAACCTTTGACTGAAAAACCAGCGTCACCTGCTGTCACCTGCAAACGCTGCCTGCACAGGACGGTTTTGTGCACCCCTGTAGTGAGCAGGCGGTTGGCTGGCCGCCGCCAGAGTGCAGGTTGTCCCCACTGGGGTTCTGGGCACCCCCTGCTAGGTCTGAGCCCCTGAGCTCTCCTGGGCTTTGCCCGCGTGCGTGGGGACCGCGTGGACTGCAGAGCTAGGCGGGTGGGTCCAGTCTAGGCCTGGCCTCCCTGCTGGGACCTGGGGCAGGGCCCAGACCTGCAGCGGCCACTGCGGACCCTTGCACGCGGCAGACCCGGGGGCCCACGAGATGAGGCCTTCAGGCCGGGGACTCCTGGCAACAACTCCTGGCAAGGTCGGGGCAGCCTGGCCAGTGGAGCAGGTGGCTTCTGCGTCACCTGCCTGCAGCCACGTGGCTCAGTCACGGAACAGGTGAGCAAAGACGAGCTAGCCGGTGGCTGGGGACAGTCCCAGCACGAAGTCACTCCCAGTCATGGGTTTCTCATCTGCGAACGGTCCTGCCAGCTCCCATCTCTGTGACTGTCCTCCCAGGGCGCTGGGAGGGAGCCATGTGTGTGACGCCCACCTGGCACGTTGCCCACAGTGACGCGCACCGGCTCTGCCACCCTGGCTCTCCTCTCCCTCTGGCCTGGCAGGACGGGGGCAGGGCAGTGCCTCTGGGCTCTGTGGGGCCTGGCCCAGGGCAGCAAGTGCCAAAGTCACTTTTGGGTGGCATCTCCCCCAAAGTGCCTGCTTTGGGAAGGCTGGTGTCGGGTGGGCACCCCACTTTTCACACGCCACGGTGACTCTCAGTGGGGCAGGGGAAGGGTCCCCGCTGGCTCGGACGGGGTGTCTGCCGCGGTCACGGCTGGGGGTGGGCGGGGGCCTGGCACAGAGGTGGTGGCCGGCGACTCCCGCGTCCCTGCTGCGCCCGAGCTGGGCGGGCGGCTCTCAGCGGCGGCTGGGGCCTCCCTCCCCTCTCGGCCTTCCCGCGTCGCTAATGAATATTAATGAGCGGAGGAGGTGAAAAAATTAATCTGCCTGATCCTGCGGTGGGTGCCGCGGTAACGATGTGAAATCTAATTATTCGTCCCAATATTTCTAACCCCTCAAACTGAGACTGACAGCCTCCCGGTCGGTTTCACGCTTATCGCCCTCAGAGGCAGCGTGTTCGCAGCATGATAAAAACACGCACGACTTTGCTGACGCTGCACAACCCCGACTTTCCTGGGGAGGTTCCTGCTGGAGGGAAGGCGCCATGTTCCCGGCCGGCCCGGCGACCCAACAGCACCCGACACTTCGGGGGCACCTGCGCAGCACCTTCCCGGGGCGCGGGGTGCCGGCCATCTGTGTCCCAGGGGGGCGGGGGCCCCATCCCGCACCCACACCCAGGAGGGATGCAGGTCAGGGGCCCCGGGCTGGGAGGCCAACCACGCAGACCTTCCCGGCCACGTTCCCGTCACCCAGACACCCTGAGAGGGGGCCTGTCACCCCGTCTGTTAGGACAGGCTGTGGGGCTCCCTGCCAGTCTGCCCTTGGCCCCTTGGGACGGGGGGGACCACCCACGGCGCCCCGGGGAGAGGCTCGAGCAGCCCCCAGCCCGAAAGTGGCCCTGTGACCAGCCAGCCGCGAGCCAGCTTCTCGCCCGCGCCAGGTGGCTGGACCCCGAGGTCAGCCCACGGCCACCTGCCTGCCCGCCCCGGGAGCCGCTGCTGGCGCCCAGGCCAAGGACGCCGGGTCGGGAACCAGATGTCAGTTTCTGCTTCCCCTGTGGAGGGGCTGGCACAGCGCGGGCTGCCCGGTTATTTTATTCTCTTTCTTTGTCTTGTCCTCTTTTGCCTTTTCCAGACAGCCCCGGCACAGAAGCCCCCTCCCCGGTGCGAGGCGCGGGCCCAGGCAGGCTCCCGGCCCCCGCGTGGGCAGCAGGCGCGGGGCAGGTGCCTGTCCGTCCTGTCCCGCTCGGCCCTCCTGCTGGCGCCTGCATCCCCAGGTTTGGCGCCCGGCTGGTCAGGCGTGTCCCGGGCCTGTCAACCGCTCACTGCCCCCTGGGTTGCCCCCTGGCGGCCCCGCTTCAGCCCTGGGATAACGGGCGGCCACTGTCAGTTCTCCGGGTGCATCTGAGAACGCTCCTTGTTTCCCTAACAAAGGGGTCAGTGTCTCGATTCTGCGCGTGCGATAACCATCGGCTCCGCACCTGCACCGCATCCGCCGTGATGGCTCATCGACCCGCTGTGCGTCTCCTGAAGCTGCGGGAGGGGAGGAGGGGACCCTCTGACAGCCCTCCAGGAGCCCGGCGCCCCCGAGGTCACTGCAGGGCAGAGGGACCAGGGCAGTTTGCAGGGTCACGGCTGAGGCTACGGCAGCCGAGGTGGCTCTGATGGGCGGCCTGCCCCTCCGTCCTCCAGCCCATCCTGAGCCCCCCGGCCACCTTCAGCGGAGGCCACGGCCGGGCCTCAGCACCTCTGCCTGCCCCAGACCCTGCGAGGAGCCATTTCACAGGTGGGGACGCTGAGGCCCTCAGGGCTGGCTGCGCAGGCGGGACTAGACCCCACGTCTGTGGGATCTCCGTGGGCCTTGCTGCCCTGTCATCCGTTCATGCGCTGTGCTGTGTGGTTCGTTCCGCACGCAGCCCCTGAGGGCCACCCAGGTGCCAGGTGCTGGGGACAGGAGGGCAGAACCGGATCTCCCAGGGTGGACACCAGAGGAGGGAGGCCAGCAAGAGACGGAGGGTGGACACTGGGAGGAAAGTGACAGAGAAATAGGGACGGGTGGAGACAGGCATGAGGCTGGGGGGACAGGGACAGTAACGGGGACAGTGAGGGACGGGGACAGTGAGGGACGGGGAGGGTGAGGTCCAGTAGTGTGACTGACCTCTCTCTGCCTCGAGGGACACAACCTGGTGCCGTCCTGGCCCCACAGGCAGGGAGATGCTGGGACCCGACAGGTGGCCCGTCTGTTCTGGCTCAGGGGGCCGGACCCGAGAAGCAGAGTCTTCTCCCAGCCCTGAGCTGGGTCTTTCTGGGGTGTTGGGAGGGGGTCCCAGGACCCGTCAAGCCCCCGGAGCCTCCCAGACCCTGGAGCACATTCCCAGCTCCTACCACCTCAGGCAGGGAAACTGAGGCACAAGCGGCAGGGTGCCCAGAGGCCTGGCAAAGCCAGCGGCAGGCCTGGGCTGGCAGGTCTCTGTCTCCTGCCTCCCGAGTGCCCAGTGGCCTCAAGGCACCTCCGGCGGCCCTCCTCCCCGACCTGCTCCAGCCGGGGCCAGACCTGACCGTCTGCTCAGGGCCCACCCTGCGGAGCGCCGGGGTCCTGTGGCTGAACAGTGGCCCCCAGAGATGCCCACCTGGAGCCCCTGAAGGGGACCTTGTCTGCAGAAAGGGTCTTTGCGGAAGTGCTAAGTTTTGGTTCTTGAGATGACAGCCTCCTGGGTTAGGGGCCCTGAACCCAATGCCTCAGGTCCTCAGAAAGGAAGAGGAGATAGAGGGGAGGCCCCATGACAGCAGAGACAGGCTGCAGCGATGTGTCCACGAGCCAAGGACACCCTGAAGCCGGGAGCGAGGCCTGGAGCAGACCCCCCAGAGCAGGAGCAGCTCTGCCGACACCGGGTTGCCGGTGCCCCGTCCCCAGGGCTGTCAGAGGATCGGTTTTGCGTAAGACGCCAGCTCGTGGCACTCAGGGGGCCTCAGCAGGGTGGAACTGCCCCTGCCAGGGCAGGTTGACAGCGTGACTCCCCTTTCCCAGGTGGGAACAGCGAGGCTGGGGGGCGGGTGCCAGGCTCAGCTTGCCCAACGG